CAAGTCTCCTATTAATTATATTCATTTCCTATTCATGCCTGCATGGAAGAGGAGGTGCAATAGGCATTTGGAATTTGCCTCTCTAGCATCCAATCCCCTTTTCCATTTAATTTGGTATTTTACCTCTCCCCGATTCTTAGTCATGTGAGCTGGGTGGAGTTCCCAGAGAAGACTTTAATCTGTCCTGCTGTACTTGAATCTGATTGGCTGTGGGACTGGGACTACAGCTGCTCCCAGCAATGCACCAATGTGGAGGAAGGAAGAACTGAGGGATACGAGAGACTAGGTCTTAGAAATATTTGAGGACTGGATCAAGCTGTATCTGAAGCCTAACCTGTACCTGGACTTTTCAGTTACATGAATCATTAGATTCCCATTTTCTTCAGTCTGGGATTTTTTTTTTTTTTAAACAAATCGAGTGTCGTATGCCATTACCCGTGTTAGTTGCAAGTGGAAATTGAGGGCAGTCTAATCTAGTCTCTAGGAGGTTGTATGTATTGTGGTCAGAACTGATGGATCAGATCGCAGACAGAAGACTATATAACTTCCCAATAGTTGGGAGGGCAACCAGTTACTCAAAATGTTCACTGAGCAAATAAATATATGGGTGGATGGGTGGAATAATGGAGAGATGGATGGATGGATGGATGTATAAATGGGTAAATAGGCGGATGGATGAGTGGATGAATATGTGAATGGGTTGATGGGTAGGCAGACAGATGGCGGCTGGGTGAATGAGTGGGTGGATGGGTAGGTGAGTAGAAGGAAGGATGAACAGGTAGATGAATGACTGGGTGCCTGGGTGAATGGGTGGGTAGCTGGATAGGTGGATGGATGCCTTGTTCTAATGAAAATGTGCCCACTCACAATGCAGTGAGAGTAAAGAAGAGCCTGAGATTCCGGATGGACAAGGTCACTGAGTCTGGAGGGCATCACGGAGGTGGGTAGGGATTGAGTCAGACGTATCAGGAGATGTTCAGGAAGGGACAGGAGACTAGTGTGTATTGGTACTTTCACCTATTGGAAGTTCGTTGGAAAACCCTACAAGGCTGGTATGACTACTTCATCTTTGAAGATGAAGAAACTGAGGTTCAGAAAAGTGTAATGGCTAGCCGAAGTCCCAGAGGCAGAGAGAGGCAGCTGTGACAGGTCTGGCTGAGGCCAGGTCCCCTGTAGGCTCTCCTGCAGGCCTACTGTCTGGGGCCCTCTCTCTGCAGTGTTAGAAAATGAATTGGGAGGACAGAGGTCTTCGGGTCCCATCCTGGCGATGCTCAGGGCCCCCTGGGAGGCCCAGGCCGGATCCTCCCCACCCCTCGGAAACTCATGTCAGCGGCCTGACAGCTGTGTTCCACTGGCCGGCCACAGCTGCCACTGCGGCCCTTGTTCCTGATGCTGAATGTTCCACCACTTTTTCCTGGCACCCCAGACCTAACGGCCGCTCAGGAAAGCTACTGTACTTGTGAGAAAAGTGAGGTCAGCGCATGTTTCCATTTACTCGGAGAAGGAAAACAAAAACAAATATCCTCGCTACTGAATGTGCTTTTTATTCAGCAGAATCCATCCCCAGAAGTCTTAATTTATGGTTCACTCATGTGTCTCTGAGCGTATTTACCAGGGGACATCATGGGGAGAGTGGAAGGGCCTGTGGTCCTGACTGTCCTGGCAGGAGCTTCAGTTCCTACGGCTGCAAAGGGTCCATAGGAAAGAGTGACAGAGAGAAGATGGTGGTTCAAGATCATAAATAATGGGGTCAAGGCTTGGGGGCACATGTGAAATATGCTTCTATGCACTACTTGCATTTCTGTTTTTCATAAGAGTTTGCTGCCTGAAATACCCTTCTATTTTTCAGTCTGGCAAACTCCTACTCAAGTATCAAAGCCCAGGTCTAGCCTTCCTGGAATGCTCCAGGCAGAGTTGGCCCTCCTTAAAACTCTGAGCCCTGTGCTCTTCCTTCTTGAGACAGGCTGCCTGGTATGTCCCTCTCTGGACTGCGAGCTCCTAGAGGGACCAGGGCAATCCCCTTCTGAAAGTCCTGTCCAGGGTATGGGACACAGTGGGTGATGAGTATGTGAGAGGAAGAGAGAAAGTCTGGAGTGGGTAGAGAGAGGCTACAGAGAGGGCTGGTGGAGTCTCTGGGGCCCCATAGCAGACTGAGGAAGCAGCCCCTCAGAGTTAGGAATGATACCTGTGTGGCTTTGAGGACCAGGTCCAGGAGTTATGCTTTAATGTTGGGAAAGAGGGCATGACTGACACAGACGAGCAGTTAAAAACCACCTTCTGAGGCTACTTATTTTAACATCCAGGCTTATCTCTCACTTGGCAGATAAGGACATGAGACCCAGCAAGGGCCTGTCCCATTAAACTTATTTGTACCCAGCGCCCTATTCACATGCCCACCATCCTCAGTTGTACCCTAACCTGCTCTGAAGTCTATCTCTGCCCTCCAGGAGGTCTATGTTCTGCTCGCCAGCCTTTTCAGGGTGTGAGGTCAAACCTATAACTCCTCCCCCTAAGCCTTAGTTTCCTCAAGTATGAAACTGTGCCTATCACTGCCCCTCTGGGTCAGATTAGAGGTTCTGAATGCCAAGTGCCTGGCACGGTGCCTGGAACAGAGTGTGCTCAGTTCCTTTGTTCTGTCCTAAGACTCTTTGATTGGTGTTTTTCTCCTCTGATTGTATAGTCTGCACCCCCTCCCTCAGTAAGTTCCCACCTCTAGCAAAGGTCTGTCCAATCCTGGAGTCTTGGTGGCCACTGGTCAGACTGGCCTCCAGCATTTGTGCCCTTGCATCCTGTGCCCCTTGAAATATAGGACTCAGGTCCAACGAGTGTCAGCTGGCCACCTGCTCCATTCCCTTTGCCCTTCTAGCCAAGAAAGGCTGGGAAACTTCATTTGTTTTCACACATGAGAGACAAGAGAGAAGGGAGGAAGGGGCTAGAAGAGTTGAGAAGGACATTGGGGTCTTCAGGTGCCTTCGGTCTCCTGGTCACCCAGGTGTGATGATGACGAGGGAGAGATGTGGTTTCAACACATGCTATCCCTGGATGGGACGACTAGGAGCTTCAGAAGCTACAGCAGGCCCTCGGAGTGGACGGCGGCCTCTTGTCCTCCTACTCTTCCTCCCTGGAGAGTTTCATCTCTGGAGGCCGGGGGAACGTCACATATAAATTACTCTCCTTTACAGACAGTGCATTTTTCTTTATGAATCATGCAGGATCCGCCTCCGGCCTCAGTGCGTGTAAAACAACAAATCAGGAGAAATTTGACTTGACCCAAGCAGGGAAATTTCCATCCATCACAAGAGGAAAATGCTGGAGGAGCAGGGAAAGGCACAGAACTGGTGACAGCCTGAGGGGGACTGTGGGGGAAAGCAGGGCAGGGGGCCCAGCCTGCCCCCTGTGGGACTCCAGGGTGGGTAGGAGACCCCAGCAGGCTCCAGCAACTTCGGGTTCTGGGGCACCATGATTTCCTGGCCTCTCAGTTAGCACTCCCCTGCCCTCCTCAGGTTCCTCAGGCCCTGCAGGTGACCTGGATGACAGTCACCCTTCCTTGTTCTCCCAGCTCCTCCTCCGCCAAGGGACACCCTCACAGCACCACAAGCCAGCCACATTCTTTCAGAGCACCTCCTCTTTGCACACTCTGTTCCTACCACCTTGGGCATCCTTCCTTTCAAAACATGACTCACCGACATACCCTCAATGGTCCTCTTTAGACCCTTCTGAAGGAGTTGACTGTGCATTCCTGGGTGCTGCCACTCTCTTGAGTGGGAGAGATCATTTGCTTTGTTTCTGTCCCCACCCCCTGCAGACTGACTGGTAGGTGCAGGTCAGGCCAGGCTCTGTGCGTCTCTGTGGCCCCGTGTGACCACTCCACAGGGGGCAGGAATCTTGCTTGTGTGTACTTGGCACTTTCCCCTGCTTTTAGCACACAGTAGATGTTCAATAGAATTACTGGACAAATTTCTCAGGTTCCCTGTATGTGCTCAGTGGTCTCTGAGCTGCCAGAGCTTGACGCATTTTGCAGGTAATCAACATAAGATGCAATTGAAGAGCAGGAGGTCCAGTGTCAGGAGGCAAGGGTTTGTGTCCTTCTGCTGGTGTTAACTTCTAGACCTGGTTCCAGCCCAGGAAATTAGCTGACCTGGAAATAGTCAAGTTTCAAGCCTTCACAGTGTGGCCCGTGATCTGAGCCTGGCTTGCTCGTATGAAGGAACAACCTTTATCCGGGTCCCAGATCAGCAGGGACACAACTTACTGCTCAGTGACAGACTCTCCATGAATACGGCTTCATTCTTTGCCTGAACCTCTGAAGTCAGATGTCCATTGCAACCCCCTCCAGTCCCCCCACATGGCCCCTCCCCCTCTTTCTTTCCACATGAAAGATTCCTCTTGACTTTAGGGCTGAGCTTTGTCTGAAGAGGGGAGAGGGCAGCCTGGCAGGCACCAGGGGAGGAGGACTAAGGGTGTCTCAGAGGACTTGGCCCATCAGCTTCTGAGGTTGGAAGATGGCAGATGTAGACCCTGTTCTGGAAGCTTCCAAATACATAGGCTCTTGAATGAGTGGCTACAGTGGAAAGGGCACTAGACTACCTGTTAGCAGAGCCATGTTCTGGCATCGTCGCCAACTTGCCGTGTGACTGTGGCGACATCTTCATTCCTCTCTGGGCCTCTATTTTGGTGTTTTTGGAAAATGCTATTTATAGCTACTACTTACTGCCAGTTTTCATCCTGCCAACCCTGGGCTAAGCCCTTTTAGTCTTCTCAACAACACTTTATCATAGGAATCATTACTATCCCTATTTTTCAGATGAAAGACTCAGCTCAATAGGCTGATTACTCAAGATCACGCTCCAGCAGGAGATAGAGGCAGAATTCCATACCCCAGGCACGCTTCCTTAGTCATAATGCCACACTTGCGGGGGTGTCATCTTGAATGGCCCCCCATCGCTGCCATGATGGTAGACCCCATTGTTACCCAGGCTCTGGGGGGCACCTCACCTTGGTTGACTAGCTTTGGGGCCTCCACCCTGTTGTCACAGGTCCATGGTGCCCCATTATCTGTTTCCCTGTCTTTATGCAGGAGCCAGCACGGTGTAGGTGCTGTGTTCTCCCCATGGAAACCATCTTGTTCAGGGCTTGGAAGGACACATGGATGCGGAGCTGAGCATTGCTGGCTTTAAAGGTAAAAGGAGCTAGACCTATTTGGGGGGTGAAGAGAGGGAGCAGGGTAAGGGAAGGCACTCCATAGGATTCATTGGGTCTGCCACCCTCTGAGGACCCTGCTGATCACTCTTCCACTCCCTCATGGAGTCCTGGTCTCTGGTCTGCAGGCCCCAGCCAGGAACACCTGTCAGGAACCATTTCATAATACCCCCTCCTCTGCATTTCCATCTTATTGTCAGTAATCATTTTATAATAATCAGTAATCATTATTTTTTTTGTTTTATTTCTCAGTTGCAATCATTAACCAAAAAAATACATTTTACTTTTAAAGATAGTACTCAAATTCAGTAAGCAATTTCATGTATAAGCTAAAACTTACACATAAAGATAAACACTTAACATCTTGTCATTTGCACTTGGTTTTATATTCTAACTTCAAACTCTAAGTGGTCACATAGAATGACAGAATTGGAGCAATGCGGAGTCTATTTTTTATCTTTACAATCACTCTGCTATCATGATGTAAATGTAGCAATATGTACTACCAGGAGGGATGGAAACACGGGCTGTGCCCAAAATGAGTTTGAATAATTCCAGGATGTTAAGAACCTAATCTCAAACTGAACACGTGTAGATAGATCAGGGAAATTCTCCAACCAAGAGCTGCAAAGAATACAATGTTACAGGAGAACTAGTAAAGATGTGCTGGTATGTGCTGTTACTTCTGTTAACTTACTGTTAAAACTCAACAATAACTGCAACAGTTTTTTAGATCTAAGACTAGCAAATTTTTTAATTGGGGAAGTAGGAACAGTGTTCTAGCAATGATGCTTATAATCCCTGCCAGCACAGTTAAGCAGATCAATAAAAGTAGTCAGTTTTTTTTTCCTGCTTTTCAACTCCCTATAGTGTACCCCCTTATTTCCTGCACCCTGGCTAGCAGATACTTCTGTGTGGTCTTTGGTTTGCCCCATCAGACTCTATGATTCTGTCATAGTCTCTGCACCCGCTACCCCACTCCCAGGGTCTGGCCACAATCTTTCCTCTGCTCCTTCAACAGAAATGTGCTAGGTACCAGGTAGAAAGAAGGGTTAGGTATGCAGAGATGACTGTGGTCCCAGTCATGTACATTGCATACTCGGGGTCGTGGGGGGGGGGACAGTGGAGTGACAGATTCATTAACAGCCCATTCATGCACAGCCAGGAAGTGTTATAATCAAGTCAATTCAAGATCTGGGCATTTCCAAAGCAGGGAGCCTGATCTAGCCTGGAGGGGCAGAGAAAGCTTCCTGGAGTGGGCAACACCCAAGCTGAGCAATTAGAATCAGCCAGGCAGAAAATAGAAACAATTAAAAATTATTTGAATATTTTTAAATGCCAGAAATTAAAATAAGCATTTACTTTATTCTATTTTCACACCTCAGGGATATATAATTCAATTTACCATGATTTCTTGGTTCACAGTATATATCATTATTAGAGGATGTATAGTCCTCTTTTATATTCTTTATTTTTAATTCTGTAAAGAACATTATGAATCTAACATATCACCCAAGTCCTAGAACATTATCGTGAAATTCTATCTCTCTATATGCTCCTCTCATCCTGTCTTCTTACCCCCTCAGATGGAAACACTATTCTGAATCTTGTGTTTGTCATTTCCTTCCTTTCGAAACATACATATTTATAGTTTTTCAGATACATATGTATGCCTTAACAATATGTTGTTTAGCTTTTCTTGTGTTATTAAAAATATGTCCCAGAAATTCCACTTGCTCTTTGCAATCTATGTATCAAAAATCCATCCATGTTGCTGTACATAGTTGTAGTTTATTAATTTTATCAATTGTAAAATCATCATCTGTGTATATTCACAACTGACTTATCCAATCTCCTGTTGATGGGCAATTAGGTTACTTCTATTGGGTTTCTGTTGGGTCTATATCTAGGATAGAATTATGAGGTTTTAAAATGTTAGAGCCAAATTCATTTCCAAAAAGAGTGTACTGATTCTTACACTTCAACAGCAATATCTGTTGATCCACCTATCTGCAAAATCTGGCATTGACAATTTTTAAAATTTTTGCCAATTTAACAGTAACTTTAATTTGCATCTTCTCTTACTAATGAGATTGAACAGCTCTCTGTATTTTAATTGCCATATGTATTTCCTCTTCTTTGAAATGCCTTTTCCTGTCTTATGTCCATTTTTCTAATGATTTGTTTTCTTATTGATTTGCAAAAGTTCTTTGTGTTTTTGATGTACTGGTAATTTCTCACATATATGCAAGAGCTTCTAATTTGTGGCCTTAAAGCTTTTAAAAACATTTACAGAAGCACTTCATTTTAACATAGTCAAATTTATTAGCATTTTCTCCTAGGCTTATGGTTTTTTGTACTTTATTTGAAAAATTTTTTTTAAGATTTTTTATTTATGCATACGAGAGCTGTGGTACAGGCCAGAGGTGTGGGGGGTGAGAGGATTCACCAGAGACAGAGTGGAGAACAGAACAGGCAGATTGACAGAAGTACACTGCTGAGGGGAGCAGGGCGAGTCAGGAGAGGTCTGCTGCGCCATGTGGGTTGCTCCCTGGCTGGCCAGGGGATCGAACTCAGGCTGCAGAAGCTGCGGTTGCAGAAGCTTCATAGGTTGCATCTTAACCTCTTGCACCATCAGGGAGGCCCTATTTGAAAATATTCATCTACATTTTTTGAAAGAAAGTTTTAAGGTTTTGCTTTGACTTTTAGTCCTTTATGCAAAATGAATTTTTAGTGGTAGAGGTAAGGATCTGATTTCACTTCTTTCATAAGGGTGACCAGTTTCTTAGCTTTTAAAATAGAATAGCCCTCTCTTTCCCCACTAGCCTGCCATGCCATACCTACTAAATAATGAAATCATACCACTGGGATTTTCTGCATAGATGGTCTCGATATACACAAATGAAGACACTTTTACTCTATCCTTTCCTTTGTATGCCTAATATTTCTAATTAAGATTTCCAGAATAATGTTCAGAAAAGGAATGATAGCAGATGCCTTACCTTGCTTCAGGCCTTCTGGAAGATACATTTAGTTGGTCACTAATGAATATGAACTTAGCTTCAGGTGTTTTATAAATGCCCTTTATCAGACTGAGCTAGTTTTCTCCTATTCTTAGTTTGCTGGAGCTTTTCATGAATGAGTTGAATTTTGTTAAATACTTTTTCTGAATTTACTGAGATGACCATATTTGAGAACAGCTTTGGTTCACAGCAAAACTTAGTGGGAGTTATGGAAATTTCCAATATACCTACCCCAATATGTGCATTGCCTTCCTTGTTATCAACATCTATTATCAAAGTGGTTCATTTGTTATAATTGATGAACTGACACTGACTCATCATAATCACCTAACATCCATAGCTGGTGTTACAGCTCACTCGATGTTGTACATACTATGGACTTGTATAATAGATAACGCGTAATGACATGTATCGCTCATTATGGTACTGACAGATTGTTTTCATTGTCCTAAAAACCTTCTGTATCCCACATATTCATCCCTCCTTAGCCCCATTCTCCAATGCTTTGCAACCACTGTATTTTACTCTCTCAATAGTTTTGCCTTTTCTAGAATGACATATTGTTGGATCATACAGTTGGTTCACTTTGGCTACTTTCACTAAATTGCATGCACTTAGGGTTTTTTTTCCATGACTTGATACTCATTTCTTCTTAGTACTGAATAATATTCCATTCTGTGACTGTACCAAAGTTTCTCCATTTGCCTACTGAAAGGCATCTTGGTTGCTTCCAGGTTTGGGCAATTATGGATAAAATTGCTTCAGTCATCCATGTGCAGGTTTTTGTGTGAAAATGAATTTTCAACTCCTTGGGGTAAATACTAAGGGGAACAATTGCTGCCAACTGTCTTCCAAAGTGGTTGTACCATTCTGCATCTCCTCCAGCAATGTATGAGACTTTCTGTTGCTCTACATCCTTGCAAGTCAGTGTTTTGGATTTGGCCATTTGAATAGGTGTGTGGTGGTATGTCATTGTTGTTAATTTTTATTTCCCTGATGACATATGATGAGGAGCATCTTTTTTATATTCTTATTTGCTATTTGTATATCTTTCATGGTGAGTTGTCAGTCTTTCACCCATTTTTTACTTGAGTTGCTTGTTTCCTTATTGTTGAGTTTTAAGAATTCTTTGTGTATTTTGGATGACCATCCATTATCTGATGTGTCTTGCAAATATTTTCTCCCAATCTGTGACTTGTCTTCTAATTTGCTTGACATTGTCTTTCACAGAGCAGAAGTTTTTAATTTTAACAAGGTCTAGCTTATTGATTATTTTTTTTTCATGGATAGACCCTTCATATTTTCTTTTTAGTCTGTTTACATGGTGAAATACATGTTTTTCAAATATTAAACAAACTTTCATTCCTGGGATAAACTCCACATGATCATGATATTATCTTTCTTGGATTCAATTTGCTGGTTTTGTTATGAATTTGTGTTTCCATGTTTATGAGTTGTATTGGTCTGTAGCTTTCTTTTTTTATCATGTCTTTGTCTGGCTTTGGTTTCAGGGTAAAACTGACTTCATAGAAAGAGTTGGAAAATATTACTCACTCTTGTTTTTTTTAAGAGTTTGTATAAAATTGTTAATATTTCTTCCTTAAATGTTTGGTTGAATTCACTACTGAAGCCACATAGGCCTGAGTTTTATTCTGGGAAGTTTTTAAAATATCAACTTAACTTCTTTTCATTGATATTGGATATTCAGGATATGCTTCCAAAAGGTACTAATCACTTTTAAAATTTTTCTTCTTGAGTGAGCTTTGGTAGATTGTACCTTTCAAGAAATTTGTCCATTTCATCAAAGTGTTCAAATTTATTGTCAGAAGTTTCCACAATATTCCATTATTATCCTTTTAGTGTCTATGTGATCTTTTGTGATGTCCCCACTTTCAGCCTTGATTTGTTTCTTCCCTTCCCTCCCTTTTCTTTCTGATTAGTTGACTAGAAGCTTATCAATTTTGTTGATCTTTTCAAAGAAACACATTTTGGTTTCATTGATTTTCTCTGTTGTTTTTGTTTCTATTTTATTTTTTCTCTTACTATTTCTTTCCATATACTTTTGGCTTAATTTGTTTGTTTTTTAATTTCAAGGTGAGATTTATTGATTTGGAACATTTCCTCTTTTCTAATAATACTTAATGATACGAATTTCCCTCTAATTGCTGCTCTAGTTGCATCCCACAAATTTTGATGGGTTGTGTTTTTCTTTTCAATTAGTTCAAAATATTTTCTGCCCTCCCTGTGACTACTTCTTTGACTTGTGGACTATTTAAAAATGTGTTGCTTAATTTCATAACATTTAGGGATTTTCCAGATCTCTTTCTATTATTGCTTTGTACTTAATTCTTATGTGATCAAAAAGCATAATATTATTTTAAAATTTATTTTTGTTTTTGCTTTTGAGCTCACTAAACTTCCACAAAGTTGCAAAATTTGTATATAGACATTCTATATATCCTGCTTCCTCCAGTGTTAACATTATGCATAACTATAGTACAATTGTCAGACTAGGAAATAACATTAGTTTAAAACTACTAAGTAAAGACCATGTTCTTATATTATCAGTTTCCCCATCAATTTCAAATTTCTATCCTGGGTCACTGTCCAGGTGGCATTTAATTATTTCTTTTTAGTTCCCTAAAAATCCTCAATCTTTCTTTTCTACCATAACCTTTACACTTCCAAAACATATTGATGACTTTTTTTGTGTGTTAATTGTTACTTTTGGGCTGTTTTACTATTTTCTCATGATCATGTTTAGGTTTTATATTTTTGGCAGGAATACACAGAATGATTTTGGGGGCTTGGACTTTTTTTTGTCTGTATTTTTTTAGTGCATCATATCATGGAGTTCACAATGTTGACATATCACATCACTGGTGATACTGATCTAGCTCACTGGTTTCTACTAGATTTCTCCATTGCAAACTCACTATTTTTTTCTTTGTAGTTAATATGTAACTCAGGGGAGATACTTAATGCAAATTATTTCACTTCAAGCTTTTACCACTAACTTTAGCATCCACTAGTGATTTGGGTAACATTTATTCTCAAGACTGCTTTAATTTTTTGAGTCTTTTGTGTGTCCATATACATTTTTTGTACTTTTTGTTCTATTTCCTTAAAAATACCATTGGAATTTTGATAGGGAGGAGTATAATATTTAGAAACCAAGATCTGGGTATTAGATGTGCTCACTATTACTGGGGTGTCATAATGCCTGGGCCCTCTAGTGGACAGATCTACTAACCCACACACATTATCTATCTATCTATCTATCTATCATCCATCTATCATCCATCTATCATCTATCTCCATCCATCCACCCAGATATCATTTAAAGCACAATTTTATATATTCATATTTCAGATTACACTCTAACAGCTCAGGGACCAAGTCTTTTTTATTCACTTCTGGGTCTCTAGATCCTAACCCAGTGTCTGACATGTGAGAGGGTTGAATACATCTTTTGAAAAGATAGATTCATATCACTACTATATATCCTGACATGATGTTAATCAAGGCAAATCTTAACTTTTTAAAAATATTTATTTATTTATGCATACAAGAACTGGGGTGTAAGCCAGAGGTGGGGTGGTGAGCAGATTCAGCAGAGAGAGTGGGGAACATAACAGGCAGATCCACTGAAATACACTGCTGAGGGGAGCAGCAGGTGAGTCAGGAGAGGTTTGCTGTGCCATGTGGGTTGCTCCCTGGCCAGTTGGGGATCAAACTTGTGTTGTAGTGGCTGGCAGTAGCTTGATAACGCTGTCTTTAATACCTGTGCCAACAAGAAGGCTCAAGGCAATTCTTTAAGCCTCAACTTCTTTTTTTTTTTTTTAAAGATTGTGTTTTTTATTTTATTTATTTATTTATTCATTCATTCATTCATTATACAAGCACTGGGTACAGTCAGAAGCTCGGGAGGGTGAGAGAATTCACCAGAGCCAGAGCAGGGAGCAGAACAGGCAGACAAACAGAAGACACTGCTGAGGGGAGCAGTGGGCGGCAGGAGAGGTCTGCGCGCCATGTGGGACCCTCCTCCGGTGGCCGGGGAGCATCCGGGGATCGAACCAGCGCTGCAGAGGCTGCGGGCAGCTTTGTAACCCAGCGCTCAACCGCTGCGCCACCGGGGAAAGCCTCAACTTCTATATCTAAAAAATGAAGAGGGTTATGGTGAGAATTACATAAAACCATATTTGCAAAATGCTTTACTCGTGTGGCCAGCATTCCATAAGTGCACAATAAATGATGACAATTGTTATTATTAATGAAGAATTACCAATGGAATTCATCCTGTTACAAAGTTGTCCTTTTTTTTTTTTTTAGATATTTATTTATTTATTTATACAAGCACTGGGTACAGTCAGAAGCTCTGGACGGTGACAGAACTCACCAGAGCCAGAGCGGGGAGCAGAGCAGGCAGAAGGACCGAAGTACACTGCTGAGGGGAGCAGCGGGTGGCAGGAGAGGTCTGCGCGCCACGTGGGACCCTCCTCTGGAGGCCGGGGAGCAGCTGGGGATCGAACTGGCACTGCAGAGGCCGCGGGCAGCTTCGCAATCCAGAGCTCAACCACTGAGCCACTGGGGAGGCCCATACAAAGTTGTCTCTTAAAGATAGTTAAAGAAAGTAAATAATAAAGGACAAAAAGCATAAAATTAAGGTTCTTTCAGAAAAATGCCAGAGTTACAGCCATAATGATAGGTTCACAATTTCTGGTGGGCAGTACTGATGATTTACTATTTGGAAAAAATCAATATTCCAATAGTATTCTAGGCACCTCACTTTAAAGAAATACTAAAAAGCACATTCAGAAAAACCTGATCCAGAGTGATCTTGGCAGTGTCACAAAGCACATGTGGAAGTTGAATAATTCTAAGAGCTATTACTCTAAGAAGACAGCGCTTCTCAAATATGAACTACTCAAATATGAACCTATCATGTAGTGGAAGTAAGGCTCATTTTGTGTGAGTGATAAGTGAAATGGCTTACAACTCATGCTTCAAGCTTTTCAACATTTCCCTATTACATTTAGAAAAAACATAACTCTTCACCATGGCCTTCCAAATCCCACTGATATGGGCCCTACCCCCTTCTCTGAACTTTTATCTACATTCCTTATGCAAGTTCTGTCTAACACATCTGTTAGACTCACCCTGGCCTCAGGGCCTTTGCACCTGCTGCGTGGAGTGCTCTGCCTTTAGATCTTTGGCAGCTACTCCTTGTTATTATTCCAGTCTCACTTTTAGCGTCACCTTCTCAGGCAAAACTCCAGCAACCCCTAAGCACATCCATTTCAGATTCTCTCTCAGTCCTTTTTTTTTTGCATTTATGAGCAATTAAAATAATACTATTTTATATTTGTTTATTGTCTCTGTGAGAGAAGGAACATTGTAGGTGTGTTGTACTTTATCCACTCACCAGAATTTAGAAAAATGCTTGCCATATAGTTGGCGCTCCATAAATACTGACAGGTGTTGCTTCTGAATGCTTAGACAATCTCAGGTAAACTCAGACTGAGTTCCATGTTACACCCAACTCACTGAAGGTAGAAGATAAATAATGATAACAGCAATAATTAACGAATAACTGTTTGTTTTTACTCCTCTCATTCTGGAAGTAGTTGTGGCAGAGTAGTACACACAAGTAATAGAAAAATCATAAGTTAACTTTGCAGAGAAAAGGCTGCTTCAACAAGACACTGGTATGGGAGGTGGGGAAAGGATTCAGGACATGAAGTATGCAAAGCCACAATGATTGTAATGGAACTACAAGCTTGTTTCTAAGCATCCTTGCAGCTAGAGCAAAAAAGAAACACAGATACTTAGATAGTTGTCCATTGTCCACTAAGATAAAGCATTGCTTTTTTCAGGGGAATCAGAAATTTCCCCTGGCACACAGTTCTTAGGAAAATTTGTTACATGGGACAGTGACAAACCCACTGAGGCATAAAAGCAGATAACACATTTGTATTTTATGGACCCACTCAAGAAATGGCTCCACAAGATCATTTCCTACAAAACCTACACGCAGCAGGACATCGAGGTGTGAATATGCAGTGAAACAAGGGTAATAATTCCATTTCAGTGCAATGAGCTTTGTTCCCTTGTGTTGATCATGTCCTCTTACTGAGCCTTAGGTTTCTCACCAGAAATATGGGCTATATGACATATGATAATCATTCTGAGTAGTGCCAGTGCATAATAGGAGAATTAAAGAAAGATGATGATTATTACTGCCTTTGTAATCAGCCTTTAGACTGTGCTCCGAGTTTGAGCAGCTTGAGGCATATTCTTCCTGAAGAAGTTTGTCAAAGAGATGGGCAAACTTTTGATGAACCCACGGGAGACTTGCCGTCTGTTGGCTAATTTACTGCAACGCTGTTGGGGAATAACAGCCACAGGAAGACAAGGCTTGATTTCCCAGGATGGGGCGATGAGGGAGGTCTCCCTTGGACGTGGAGAAGAAAGGGTAATTATGTTTCCTTCTCTTTTTAGAGCCAATTGCTGCTGTGAACCTGCCCACCTGAGGGCTGAGGGCCCTGATAGCTCCAAGACCAACTGGCAAGTTTTCCCAGGTGCAAGGGTATCTTTAGCCAGCGCCCCTGGGAAACTGTCAATCACACTCTCCTGGCCCCACCAGGGATCCAAGAAGGAAGAGATTTATGTGGGCATGCTTTGCCTGACTGCTTACGCCCTGCTTTACCCAGCTTAGGTAGGCAGGGAGCCTGGGAAGTTGCTTGCAGGTCTCAATGTTTGGGGAGGGTCACCATCCCTCTGTCCCTGGTCACATCCCAGGCAGAGCCTTAGGTTACAGAGTGAGAAGGATGTATGTGTGTTGCACGTCACTCATTCTCCAGCACCTACAACGCTTGACATGTATTTGGTGCAAAGAAACACCTCTACTGAGCACCCACCACTTTCCATTTCCATTGCCAGTGCTATTTCTTCTAATTCCACACAGCAACCCAGGGAGGTGGAATTCCCTACAGCGGAGAACAGTGAGTTTTTTTTTTTTTTAAGATTTATTTATTCATGTATACAAGAATCGGGGTACAGGCCAGATGTGTGGGAGGGTGAGAGGATTCACCAGAGCCAGAGTGGGGAACAGAGTGGGGAACAGAACAGGCAGACTGACCGAAATACACTTATGAGGGGAGCAGCGGGCGAGAAAGGAGAGGTCTGCTGTGCCGTGTGGGTATCTCCCCAGCAGACTGGGATCCAACCCATGCTGCAGAGGCTGTGAAGCTGTTCACAGCTGAGAACCGCCTGCACCACCAAGGAGGCCTGAGTACAGTGAGATTTGGACAGACAGATTGACTTGGTGGGAGTCTCATAGGCAGCAAGCAAGCTGGGATTGGACACAAATTAGAGAGGCCGAAGACTGGTATTCTTTTGTGGTGGGGGCTGAGCAAGGAGAGAAATGGGAGGTGCAGGGAGAGGAGCCAGACAAGTAGATGGAAAAGAAAAAGGAGGAGAAAGAGATGGAGCTGGAAGAGAGGAGGAAGCAAAACAGAAGAGGGAAGGTGGAGGAGGTAGGGATAGGAGGAAGAGAAGAGGAGACTGAAGAGAACAGAGCAGGGCAGGGAAAAAAATGCTGTATTAGTTTTGTCTTGCTGCTATAACAAATCATCATGAACTTAGTGGGTAAACCAAGACAAATGTATTCTCCTAGAGATATGGGACTCAAAAGTCTGCAGTGAGTCTTATGGGACTAAAACCAAAGGTTTGGCAGGGCTGGTTCATTATTCAGGCTCTAGGGAAGAATCCACTTCCTTGACTTGTCCAGCTTCTAGTGGTGCCTGTGGCTTGTGGCCCAGTCTATTATTTTCAAAGCTCTGATCTCTGTTTCCAGCACCATGTGAATTGGACCCTGCTGCCTCCTTCTCTCTTGAGGATATTTGCAATCATACCAGGCTCTCCCAGATAATTTGGAATAATCAACTCATCTGTAGATGTTTGATTTAATCACAACTGAAAAACCATATAAGGCAACCTTCACAGATTTGGGGGATTACAATATGTGGAGACACATTTAGGGAGTCACTTTTCAGACTACCAAAGAAGAAAAGGAAAGATCTAGGGGAATGTGACAGTGGAGATGAAAGGAGAAAAGTGGGGGTGAGGAGGCCTTGAGTAGTCCTACCCCTCTTGGGGCCTCAGTTTCTAGTTCTGTAAAGTGGGGATAATGAACACATCTGCTCCTAGAGTTTGTAAAGATTCTGCAGAATTGACTAGTCCAGGTGATCTGCTCAGCTCCCTCCAAGGCCTATGTTCTCTCTATCAACCTACTGCCTGCCTTCCAGGATCTTCCCTTAGAGTTCCCATTTCCATGCTCACCCCCTGGAAGTGCCCCCTCGTCTGGTAATTCCCCCCTTTCCAGCGCAGCAGACCCTGGACTAATGCATTGCAGCTTGAGCCTGTGGACTGCCTTCTGGCGCCTTCACCCTGCCCGCTCCCCGCCTAGCCTGACCCGTCACTTCCAATCACTCCAATACAAAACATCCTGCCAGATCCATCCCAGCTGCCCTGTGGCCTTGCCTGGCTCTTGAACGCCTGGCCAGCAGCATAGACCTGCAGGAGAGGATGCAGGAGCTCAAGGTCAATGGTTCACCACCCCCTCTCCCTGTGGCTTTGAGGCTTTTGAAAAACATCAACCCGAGCATTGTACCCTCCCAGGCCATCAATGCCCCTTCCCTCCTTTCTTCCAGAGGTAAGAGAAAACTGCCATGGAAATTAACCATCAAGGGTCCCTCAAACCATTGTTTCTTTATGGGGAGGGGGCTGTCCTTTCTCGAGCATCTATGTGAACTTTGCAGATACTAGCTCAGATAATCCTGATAGCATCCAAGGGGAGAGGGCTGGGAGCACAGAGCAGGTGAGCTTCTCCCCAGGAGCATATAGCACTCTGCCTCTCCCGCGCTCACTGTATCAACTACCCACCCACCATGCCTAGGCCTTGAGCACCTTCCATGCGCATGGTCAGCCACTTTATGGAAGGTGGGTTGGATTGTGCCCCCAAAGGAGTCCTAACCGTGATACCTGTGAATGTGACTTGATTGGGAAATAGAAACTTTGCAGATGTAATCAAGTTAAAATGTGGTCATACTAATCAGGATGGGCCCTGATTCCATGGCTGGCATTCTTATAAGAAGAGGGAAATCTGGACACAGACACACACGGAGGGCAGAGAGCCATACAAAAGAGGTAGAAATTGGAGTGCTGTATTTACAGGCCAAGGAATGGCAAGGATTTTTTTGGCAACCACGGGAAGCTAGATGGGAAAGGAAGCCTCCTTCCCTGAAGACTTTGAATGGAGGATGGCCCTGCCGACACCTTGACTGTGGACTTCTGGCCTTCAGAATGAGGCAGCATGCACTTATATTGTGGTAAGTCATCCCTGTGTGGATATCTGTTTCAGCAGCTCTAGGAAACTTACCCAGAGAGTATCTAATCTTCGCCAGAACCTTATGAAATAGGAATTGTTTTCCATTTAGCAGATGAGAAAGTTGAGGCTCAGAAAAGAGAAATGTGTTCCTGAAGTTTCCACAAACTGGGCCAGATATGATTAAGTTAAAAGTGCTCAGCAAACCTGAAATCTTGTGTCTCTGCTTCCCAGTAGCCAGGGGACTGCAAACCTGGGTGCATCACCAGAGGTAATAGGGAAGTGAGTTAAAATATTGATTCCAGGAGCCCCTCTTGAAGGTTACCGTGTGGTTCTCCTGGGCTGCCCGCCCCCACCATACTACATTTTAACACTTCGCTTGGAATTTCTAAAGCAGCTCTGTTGGGTAAATGTTGCTTCTCATTATGCCCCTGTCACCAAAGAAGTGTGTCCTCAGAAGCCTGCAAGTTGGGCCACTGGGAATTTGTCACAAGGAGAGAGGGATGGGCAGGTGAGCAGGAGGTGGCTGTGGAGGAGGCTGAGTGACAGGGAACATATCCACCAGGAAAGCGGTGCCCGCCTGTCATGCACCCCACAGGACTCCTGTCACCTAACCTACCCTACCCAATCCCACCTGGGACCACAAGCCCTGGGCTTTTGTCTTTCTGGAGCCTTCTAGAGTACTAGATCTGGAAGTTGTCCCTGAGGCATCTCATCCAGCCACCCCCCACTAGGGTCCCACCATCAGCCTTGTTGCATTTGGAGAACTGAGGTCTTGCCCTGAAACACATGGCATCACCCTGAAAAAGCTCTGCTCCAGATCTGGTCCCCCCTTACTGGAACACACCATGTTAAGCCAGAAAGCAGACACAGGCAGGAGTTAGGCGAAGTTAGGCGAACAAGGAGCAGTGAGCACCTGGGGAGGTGGTGGGCAGACAAGACAAAGGGCCAGAGGGCGCCCACATACCGGGCAATCTGCCAGTGCTGGAACCTCACACTGGATTATACCATCATTTATGACCATTTTACAGATGCGCAAACCAAGCAGATGGCAAGTTTCTGAGCTTGGATGTGAACCCAGTTGGGCTTGCCTTTCAAGTCCACTGCCTTCCCCTTCTGCCCCGTCTACTGCTCCAGCCCTTTAGCCCTTCAGACCACACCCTCCCAAATATGAAACTAATTTGCAAACCAAGTGCTCAGTGCCATTGGCAAGAGGCACAGGCCTCAAGCTATTAGTTCACAGCAAGTGCTCAGCTGGGCTGCACAGAGAGGCATCCAGTGGGTGTTGGCAACGCCCCCCCCCAACTCCCCACCCAATATTTCAAGGGAGAGATTGAAGCCACATGTTTGGAGGCCGTAAGCTGATTGCTGGAAGGATGTTCCATATAAACAGCAGGCAGCACAGCCTGTCACTTGGCCTCACCTTTGATTCTGAACCTAAGCTCCAGCCCCAGAGCCAGCTATTGCCAATCCCTCTCTTCCCTAAATGCCAGCCCCAGAAGGCCTAGGGTAGCTGAGCTCAAGCTAGCTGAGAAAGGGTTAAACAGCCGCAGCAGGTGCAAGGGCAGAGAGAAGTTCTCCAGGGCCTCAGGCTGGGTAGACAGAAAGAGAAAGTCAGACAGTATAAGGGAAGGATTCTTAGATCAGCCCGGGCCTCCATCCCTGCCCATGATCTGTGGGGTGTGGGGTGCTGCTCCCCTGTGGCCCTCAGCATCCCTTTTGAGAAAGAGGGACTCTGGATATGGAGGCCTCCTCAGCCCCCAGCCTTTCAGATTCTGGAGACCCAGCCAGCTTCCCCTGGCAAGGGCTGAGCACAGAAAGCAGCACCCCCTCACCGGCCCCAGACCCAGGTGGGGTGAGGAGGAGGAGGGGCACGGGGAGCCTGCTGGGCCACACGGGCTGAGGGCTTAGGGTTACCAGAGCCGAGGCAACACACGTGTGTTTCAAATTTTCTTTCAAGTCTTCTCAGTGCGGCTTGCTCCCATCCCTCCCCCAGCCTCTGTAATCAGTTTGGATGGAGAACAGCAGACGCACTGAGGAGGGGGTGGGTGTATGGGGAACAGTTGGGGCTGGGAATCATTTTGGGGTTTTGTTACCTGCCAGCCGCAAGCAGGCCCATCTGAGGGGGAGGAGAGCAGAGATGCAGATGCAGGCCCTGTTGCTGGCAGGGGTGCTGGTCAGGGCTTGGGGGAAGGGCAGAGAGAGTCGGCTGGAGATCCAGCTGCTTTGCCTACAGAAGGCAGGGTCAGGAATCTGACCAGCCCGGGCAGCAGCTTGGTCTGGCTGAGTAGTCTTGCTGGGTTATTTCACCTCTCTAAGCCTCAGTGACTTCATCTGTGAAATGGGGCCTAGACGTGAAGATGTGAAGTTAAAATAAAATAAAATAAACCCACAGCAGATAGTCCCTTGGCATGGACTACTTTGCTCTTTGGGGGAGCGGGGTAGAAAGATGAAACAGCGCCTCTTGCATGGAGACCAGGAGGCCACAAAGCCTCCCTGGGGGGGCTGTCAACACAGCCTAACTGAGTTCACGCTCCAGTAGCAGGACATGCTCTCTGCAGCTCCTGTGTAGCCTGTGTCTGTAGGAGGCCTCCTTGTCAGAGAGTCAGAGACCCCCACATCGTGCTCCAAAGCTGCTTCTCTCCCAGTGGCCAAGCTCCCACTCGACTTGTCTTGTCCTGACCACCCCTGGCTTCTGTCCCTGGCACCAACATCCAAATCTGTTCAGACACATGGAGTCACTCACTCCTTCCTCAGGGACACCCCCATTTGCAGTGTGAGGGGCTGAATTGTTCTCTCTGTACCCGTAGTCTGGGGATGCCACTCTGGACAGGGACAGAGCCACCTCCTGTTTCCAGGGTGACCCATTCTAGACCTTTATAAGGTCATACAGTCCCTTGAGAACCAGATGAAGACTGTTTCCTGCCCCCGAGAAAATGCACCCCCTACAAGACTCTGCCCATGATATCAGGGTCTCATAAACCCTATCCTCCTACTCCCAACCCTCCACCCCACCAAAGTCACCAAGTTGAGGATTCGAATCCCTTTCCTGCCAAAGGAAGTCAATCCTGGGCTTGAGAGTCCCTACTCTGAGCCCGCTGAGGGCACACAGGAGGACCACAGGGCGGGTGACCAGGCCCAGCCAACAGGGCTCAGGAATTCTGATGGCCAACCTCCAGGAAGAGCTAGCTCTTGTCCTGCCCTAGGGCTACCCTCAAATCTGAAGGCCTTCCCTGCCCCAGACCTCAGGCAACACCCTTGATTCAACACTCCCTTCCACAGGTTCAAGCCAGAAGGCCAGGCAGAGGTATGCCTCTGCACCCTCGTTTTACAAACGGGGAAACCAAGGCTCACTGGTCCAGCCTAGGTCACAAGAGTTTTTTCAGCTCCTGTGTCTCAGGCTTTGATGTCTAAGGGCCAGAGACTCCAATCGGCCTGGAGCAGGGGTCCTGGTCGTTGGCAGGTCAGCCAGCCGCGGGGCGGGGAGCAGCCTCCAACCTCTTCCCCACTGCTCAGCTTTTGTTAGCAATGGATGGAAAGTGGCAACTCAGAAAGCAGAGGTTTCCGGCTTGCCAGATCGTAGCCGGGAGAACAGATGGCCAATTCATCCCACCCAACTTGGCACCTTGAACAAAGGGAACAATATGTGTTTGGCTCCCTGATCTTTCCTCAGGTTCCCAGGCAGGTGACTGGAAAGTCTGATGACAAGAAAACTTCAGCTCACTTCTCTCAGGACACAAACCACAAACCGGGCCTGGCCGTTGTTCTGCCTGCTCCCTCCACCCCATCCTGCTCTCCCCTCCCCCCTCCTTCAGGCCCTGTCCAGGCCCCGTGGGCAGCGGCTCCAGCAGAGCCGGTCTCCAGTGAAGATGGGTGGAGGGTGGGGACAGGGAGGAACCTACACACTGAGAATCATACCCTTTCTCTTCTTTCCCCCTCACATCAGCCTCATTGCCATCCCATTCTGCAGATGAGGAAACCAAGGCTCTGAGGGGCTGGCCAACAGGAGACATGGTCCAAAGTGGCGGAGCCAAGAGCAAGAACAGCAGCTGCTGTGTTCTGAGCACCTCCTGGAGCCAAGACACGGCCCCGCTTTTAGAGCTCAGAGAGGTGGCTCAGCCTGGATGGCTGGGCAAACACTCCCATGGAGAAGTCTGGAGATGTGGCCAAGGTTTCCTGCAGAGCAATGAGGCTGGGGAGCTAGGGGGCTCCACTGTAAACCCTGGGGACACAGAACTACAGTTGCCCGTTTCTGCGCACCTACTGTGTGCCTGGCACCAGGTAGGCCCTTTTCACAGGATTCTCTTCATGGGTTCTGTTTTGTATGGACAGTTTCTCAGATGAAAAGCTGGAGGCACAGAGAAACAATTTATCAAAGCCACACAAGCAGTTAAGGGCCCAAGCAAAGACTCTTTCCACTGCCTCAGCTCTCTCTCTCTGCCCTCCGCCCCCAGCCCCAGGGAGGGTGTTAATGACACCGGGCAGGGAGAGGCAGGGGGAAGGAGTTATGCCCACAGGTGCCAGCAGGTCTCCCAGTGGTGACCAGACTCGGGCCTGGCGCCACTCTGCCCCTGCTTGTCTGTTCCCCCCACGTGGGATGGTGGCTGATACCCCTCTGGGGTGGGGTGGGGGCCCCTGCAGATGTTTGGGCCCTCCCTGCCAAGACCCCGCCCTGGAGACCCAGAGTCTGTCTTCCAGGAACTATAGTTGTTCCCACTCTGGGATCCCTGGGTGGGGCAGGTGGGGCTTGGCCAGTCCCAGGGCTGGCTGGAAGGGCTGGAGGCTGAAGGCACCCATGTGAGGTGGCCAAGCATAAGCCTCAAGGCCCCTGCGACCTGGTCTCCTTTTTGTCTTTTTCTCTCTTTGTACGATGGGCTAGATCTTTGACTCTCTTCCTCTCTGTCTCTGGGTGACTCAGGGGTCAAAGAGTTTGTGGTGTGTTGGGAAAAGCCAGGAAGGGAAGCCAGGGAACTGAGTTTTGGTTCCAATTCTACTTGGAGACCCCAGTGTGTGTACTTTGCTCTCTCTGGGTCTCTAGCTGCTAGATGTACCTGCTGGTCACAGTCTGGATTCCAACATACCCCCTAGGCCTGGGGTCCAGGCCATCTCAGGCAGTGGGGAGCTCAGAAGACAGTGTTTGTCTGTTTTCTCCACACAGAGAACATCTGAAAAGCAGCTCCTAACTCTCAGTGGAAAGGGATTTAAAGAGGAAAATAAATAAAGTGTGAAAGTGCCTCTCACTGACAAGCTCAAGCCCTGTTAGCTTGGCCTCTGATCCTCCCCTGCCTCTCCATCCCCTCCGTGACTTGAGAGCCATTTCTCAACATCCCCACCCCCAACCCCTCCCTATATCACCCTTCTCTTTAAGCTTCTCAGGAAAGCCTGCTTCAAAACCTAGGGTTAGGTGAGGATCAAGGTGAGAATGTTGTCAACTGTAGGAAGATACCAGGAAGTGACTGAACTCCTAAAAAATGTATCACCATCATCCCTACCATCTCTACCATCTCTGCCACTGTCATCGTCATGATCAACATTATAATTATCCTCACCGCCATTACTACCACTACCATACCACCAACATCACCGCCATTATCACCATCACTATCACCAGCAACATTACCATGGTCTTCACCGCTATCACCTCCACCACCCACATCACTACCACCACCACCACCACCATCATCATCATCATCATCATCCCATCATTATACTAGCTTCCTTTTGCTGCTGTAACAAATGACTACAAACTTGGTACCTTAGTCTGTTTCAGCTGCTATTACAAAGTACTGCAGACTGCATGACTTGTAAGCAACATAAATTTATTTCCCACAGTTCTTAAGGCTGGAAAGCCCAGTATCAAGATATAAATTTAGTATCCAGTCGAAGGGCCTCCTTTTTACTGTACCCTCACATGGTGGCAGGGGATTAGGAGCTCAGTGGGGTCCCTTTTATGGGAACACCAATCTCATTCATGAGGGTTCTGACCTCATGACCAGTTACCTCCCAAAGACCCCACCTCCTAATACCATCACATTGGGAATTAAGATTTCAGCATTATGAGTTGGGTGGCAGGGGTTTGGGAGAAGACACAAACATTTAGATAATAACTTTTGGTGGTTTAAAGCAATGCAAAGTTATTGTGGTGCAGTTCTGGAGGTCAAAATCTGAATTGGGTCTCATCGGTCTAAAATCAAGCTATTGGCAGCACTATGTTCCTTCTAGAGATTCTAGGGGAGAATTCACTGCCTTTTTAAATCCAGTTTCTAGAAGCTTCCCATGTTCTTTGACTCATGGCCCTCTTCTGCCATCTTCAAAGTCAACAATGGCCAACCATGCTTTCTTATACTGCATTAGCCTGTATCTCTCTCTTGTTTCCTCCTTTTCCTCCTTTCACAAGAACCCTTGTGATTACAATGCATCCACCCAGGTAATCTAGGATAATCACCCTGATCTCAAGGTCAGCTAATTAGCCATCTTAATTCAAACTCGCAATATAGCATAGAATCTTCACAGACTCTAGGGGCATTATTGGACCTGTTACAACCACCATCATCATTGTCTCCATAGCTCATACCACCCCACTTCTATCACCATCACAACTGCTATCACCTCCACCATTTTCAGCAGCATCACCACCTATTATCACTATAATAGCACCACCACAACCTCTACCACCATCACCACCACTGCTACTACCAGCACCACTGCCACCACCACCACTGTTTCCTCACCACTGTCATCACCATTATTTCCAACACCATCACCCCTACCAGCACCACCTCACTGCCACTTTTCAGCTCTCAGCTCTAATGCTGCTTCCTGATAGTGGGATTCTCAGGCTATTCTGTCCAGACACAGATAGTGGCAGGCAACTCTGAAAGCAAAGACTGTCTGGTTTTTTCACTGGTGCATCTAGTGCCTGGCACAGAGGAGGCACTCAATAAGTATCTACTAAATGTGTGAATAATAAGTGGAGGTTTTTGAGCCTGTAATAAGGACTTTAGTCATGGCATGTCAAGGAGGGTGTCGCTGAAGGAATGATGTCATAGCTGAGACTGGATGGAAGAGTGGAAGTTAATGAGATGAACAAAGAAAGTGAGGGCAAATTTGGATAGCTAGAAGGAGTGCTTCTGGCATTTTGAGAACTAATAGTAAGTAAAGGGTGGGTGCTAGAAGCCAGAGTGTGGAAGAACACAGGCAAGTGTGACCAGAGTGACAATACAAGAATGTCAAGAACATTCTTTATCCTCAAGACAATGGAAGCTTTGGGAGCTTGAAGTCTTGAGATCAGGTACATTTCTGGAAGATCACTCTAGCTCCACTGTAAATAGTGGATGGCTGGAAAGGGGGGCAGGGGAGGGGTGTGAGAGGATAGTAGCTGCTTAGGAGTCTCTTGCTATATTTTGGGAGTAAAGGTTGGAGATGGCTCTAGCTTGGACCAGAATGGTGCTTATGGGGATGGAGAGATATGGACAGAATCAGGAACTATAATAAGAGAGAAAAATCAAAAGGACTTGGGGAAATAACTTAGATTTAGAGATGAAAAGAGGATGGAGCTGAGGATACTGACTAGGTGTCTGCCTCCATAAATGGATGGGATGAGAGAGACATTGACTCCATAGCTGGATGAAGGAGGCCACTGCTGCAGGGGGCACGAGTACACCCATATTTATTACTATTATCTGGGTTCCTCAGAAGCCACCTTGAAACGAGGATTCAAATAAAAGTCATTTACTTGGAATATGAAATAACAAAGTGGGGAAGTAAGATAGGAAACGTAAGTCAGCCACTGAGGGTGTGTTATCAAGCAAGTTACTACCACAGGGAAATGAGCTTGAGTCCTGCTGGAGAACTCTAGAATTCAGTGAAGAATACCCACTTCAGACTCATCCTACCCAAAGATGAGGACACTTGGCTTTTTATACACCAACTCTGGCTAGTCATCAGCTGGAGGCTGTTCCCAAGGAGTGTTAATTCCCTATCCCTTCTAGACTTCCACACCTAGAGATAGATAAGGCCCAGCGATGACAGAAAGCTCTTAGGCAAAAAGATTTGGGTTCTGGCAATGAAGGACAGATCTGTGGCACTGAGATGGTACTGGATGATATAGGAAGAGAACCGATGTCATCCGCTACCAATATGAGGAGGTAAAAGGATTCAAAGCCAGGTCTTTTGCATCTCAAAGTCTATGAATGGATGAGCATAAGGATGGATAACTAAATGGATGAATAGATAGCTAACCCGATGGACAGTTGATTGATGATTAGGTATGCCAAAAAAATGGATGGTTTGGCAGGCAAGCAGTGGATGGATGATGGCATTTGAGTGGTTGGGAAGATGGACAGGTAGCTAATGAATGGATACATAGATGGGGGTGGGTAGATGGAGGCTGCATGGATGGAGGATTAATGCATTGGTATATGGGTGCGTTGTTAAAGAATTGCATCCATGACTGAATGGTGGTTAGACAGAGTGGGTAGATGGATATACAAGTAGATGGCTGGGCAGTTGGGTGGGAGGTGGTATGACCAGGCTTGGGAAAAGAGAAGGGTTGTGACATACATTGCAGAACCTCAAAAGTGACCTTGGATGAAGTAAGTGCAGTTTCAATACAACTTGTCTGTCACTGATCCAGGAGGTCCCCAGTCTCTAAGTCTCTGCTGTGGTCTCATATTTATGACTAAGCACAACTGGAATGAAGTTCAGAGTATGGTGCGGGTTCAGGAAAGCCCATGAGATGGAACTAGAGGAGTAGGGTTTATCCCATTGGGTCTTGTGCCTAGAATGGCCAGAAGACAATGTCATAGGTCTGGCCCTGGCCACCCTAACGTCTGGGTCGGTGCTGGACATATTTGTGCTACTCTCCAAGCAAGACAATGATCGCCAAAGAGGAAGGCAGCTCTCACAGTTAGAGCAGCTTGGCTGAGGAAGGCTGGGAAAAGAGGCCGACATCAGGACGGGGAGCCCCATCATCTTGGCAGAGACAAGTGGAGCCCAGGGACACCCAGCTACAGCCATGCACAGCTGATGGGTTTAGCTTTGCCAAGTTTCACTGCCTGGGGCACATTTTTATAACTGAAGAATAATGAGAGGCAGGCATCCTAGCTGTGGTCTTTTCCTAGTACAGTGTGTGTCTGTGCACACACATGGTTTGCATGAGTGAACATGGATGTCATTTGTGGATCTCTATATGGGTTTGTTTGTATGTGTGTCAGGTTTAAGCATATATGCTAGGACTCTTGGCATGTGTAAATTTGTGTTTGTTAGCATGCTTGTGTGTATTCAAGTATGTTTGAATGTGGGTAGATGTGATCATGTATGTGAGCGTATCGTGTGCCTGTTATTTTTGTGGTGTGTGTACTTGTACATGTATAAACTTTTGCCTTTGCACGAGCATGCATGTATGTAAAAATATTCACATCTGTGAGTTTGTGTATATTCTTGCTGTTTGTATGTCTGGGTATTTGTGTATGTGTGTGTGTGTGCGTGTGTGTGTGTGTGTGTGTATACAAGTGAACCTGGATGTGCATGAGAGTGGTGCCCATTCTTTGCTCCCAGATTCATCTCTTACCCTCTCACCAAATCCTTTCATACAAACTTCAGAAGCAAAACAATTAGTAGTCTCCCAAACATTCTAGCCATTTCGGGCCTTCATGATTTTGTGCTTCTCAGAATGCCATCCTCTTCCTTTCTGCTTGGTAAAACTCTGTTCATCTAGTAGGTCCTAGTTTCGCACCTTCTTTACTGTCTTCAGGTCATCTCCTTGTTGCCTCTCAGACATCACTTAGCCGTGAGGTTTTTTTTCTGCTCTTCCCAGACACTGGGATTTCTTTGAGGGCAGGGTCTGTGTTTAATTCCTTTCTATATCACCAGGGTCTGCAATAAGATCTAGCATGTAATGAGATGGATGGATGGATGGATGGATGGATGGATGGATGGATGGATGGACAGGCAGATAGATGGATAGATGTGTGGATGGGTGGACAGGTGAATAGGCAGATGGGTAGTTAGACATGTGAAGGGATGAATGGATGGATGGACGGACAGAAGGGTAGATGGATGGGTAAATGACTAAATCTGGCACTTATGTTCTAGAATCCTAGTTTCCAAAGAAGACTACTTGTTGCTCTTCCTCAGCTTTCATTTTTCTGATACAGAAGAAATAGCCTTTTTGCTTGCAGAGGTGGTCTGCTTACTCCCTCTCAACTCTGGCTCTCAGGAGGTCTGGCTCCAGA